GAGAAAGGCCAGGCGCGGACTGGGCTAAGGTGGCTGCTGCTGGGCTGCAGCGGTGGTTGGGCTGCACTGCTGCTCCCTCTCCCAGGCTCAGTTTCTTATCTTCGAATTTCTTCAGGCAGAAAACAAAGAGAAAATCACAGGGACTTTGGAGAGGGAGTAGGCTGGAATACAAATATCTCAGGAATGCTGGAATTATGCACCATTCTAATAAATTGTCTTGGCAATTTTATAGATAGAAAAATAATCCAAGTTTGAATTAAATTCAAACTTGAGCCATTTTTGAACCCAACCAAGACAACTCCAAAATGGATGATATTTGACAGAGAGGTATAAGGCATGAAGTAAGATCATCAGGAAATAAATGAACATTAATAGAGGAGAGAATAATGTCACTTACAAAAACATGGAGGAAGAAAGAAGGGAGAGGTGATGATACATGGCATGGCTTGAGAGAGAGATAGCAAGGGCTGATGCACACACAACATGAAAGTGACATGTAACACAAGGATGAGTGCAATGCACATGATGCTCATGGCAACAACATAGAGGAATAAAATATGCAAAATAAATATGACAGTGCAACAAACACAAAAACACACGGCAACAACTAAAATAAATGGAAGGAAACTCGAGCATCGGTCTCCGGGCGTCACATAGCCGGAGCCCTTCTGCATATTTTCATAGCTTCCAACCCATCCTCTCTTATAGCTTTATGTAACAGAGCAGACAAAGCATCAGCCACAAATAAAAAGAGAAAAAGGGATAAGGAATCACCCTACCGAAGGCCTCGCGAGGGCGAAAATTGATCCAATAGCTTCCCATTAAACTTGACAGAGTACTTGACTGATTTGACACACACCATTACACGGTTCACCCAATTCGCCGAGAATCCCCACTTTAGAAGGGCACTCTCCAAGAAATCCCAGTCCACCCGGTCATATGCCTTTGAGAGATCCAACTTGTAAGCACAATAAGATTGCTCCAACGATGAGGTTTGAATATGATGGATACACTCAAAGGCTATAAGAGTATTATCGGTAATAAGCCTTCCTAGTATGAAGGCACTCTGATTTTCAGATATGAGCTCCACCAACAAGGGGCGAAGACGGTTGACCATACATTTGGACACCACTTTATAAATGACATTACATATACTTATTGGTCTGAAATCCTTCAAGTCCGTCGGCGACGCAGCCTTAGGGATTAAAACAATTGCAGTCTCATTAACTCCCGGTGGCATGGTTCCTGTGGCAAAGAAATCCAGTACCGTCGTGGTGATCTCCTCCTTCAAAACTTGCCAATTTCGCTCAAAAAACCTAGTCGGAAAGCCGTCCGGACCAGTTGCTTTGATTGGTCCAATCTGAAATAAGGCATCAGCCACTTCCTTTTCCGTGTAAACTGCATCAAGAGCATCATTCATTTGTTGTGTTACCTTGGGCTGTATACACCCTAGCAAGGACTCCGAGCTCAATGTTGGATCCTTAGTGTATAGTTCCTTAAAATATGAACTAGCCATCAACTCCATCTCAGTAGGTACCGAACACCACGAGCCGTCCGCTCTTTGAAGGCGCCGAATTGCATTTTTCCTTGCCCGCCATATCGCTTTCCTATGGAAATACTGAGTGTTTCGGTCGCCCTCTTTGAGCTAAGTAATGCACGATCTTTGTAACCACATCATGTCCTCCCTATAGAGGAGCTCATCCAACATATACATCTCACAAATTACAGATCTCTACGCATTGTGCAGCTGCAACTCTGCTAATTCTGCATGCAGAGATTCAGTTTCATTTGAAACATGGCCGACGTTCTTCTTGCTCCACTCTTGCAAGTCCTTCATCACGTCCTTCAAGTTGACTGCTATCTCCCCTAGGTTATGTGCTCGTCTTCTGGACCAAGCCTTGGAAATGACCTCCGGGAGCGCTGCATGTCTCTCCCACATTATCTCGTAGCGAAAAGCGCTACGGTGTCTCTTGGCGGGCTCCTCTGAACATGCTTCAAGCAGAATAGGGCAGTGATCCGAAGCAGGCGAAGTGAGATGCTTCACCTTTGCTGTAGGGAACATGTCTCGCCATTGCTCATCCGCACACCCCCTATCAAGTCGCACTTGAACATTCCTTGCTACATACTGATTGTTGTTGTATGTATAGGGCAAACCTGAGAACCCTATGTCGACTAGTTCACACACTTGCAAACAGTCCCGAAAGGCTTCCATTTGTGATGAGCTCCGGGTCGTAAAGGACAAATGTTCATGCTGCCACATACATTCATTGAAATCCCCACAGACTACCCATGGCTCACTCGACACACCTCTCAATCTCGTGAGGTGATCCCACATATGTCTCCTATTCTCCACTCTGGGTTCACCATAAACAAAAGTTGCACGCCATTGCTTCCCTTCTGCTGGGTCAACAATTCTCACATCTATGAATCTCTTGCATGCTTCTATTACTATCACTTGAAGGCCCTCGTCCCAAAAGAGCGCAAGGCCTCCACCTCTCCCTTCTGGATCCACACCTTCAAAACCTTGGAGCCCAAGTCCCCACTTTATTTTCTTGACTTTCACAGCAGGTTGCCTCGTCTCGCAGAGGAAGACAGGGTTTGGGGTGGTTGACCCTTGAAAGGGCCAACAAATCTCGAACTGTCCGGCGGTTCCCCACCCCCCGGCAGTTCCATATTAGGTAATTCATTGCTCCCGGCAGTACCCCTCGAGGGGGTCCGCCGATGTAGATGATTTGTTCCCACTGTCTCCATCCCTCCTTGTTCTCTTGCTGTCCTGACTATTCGTTGGAGACTCATCGTCCCCCTCCATGCGGTTTGTTTGTCAGCATCAACTGATCGGTCTTAGTTTTAATCTCAGATCCAGCATTAATGATGTTCTCATTTAAGTTCAACCGTTTCCTAGAGTTTCTGTCATCGCCTGATACTTTATCGGGCTGGAAGCAGTATCCCGAAGCTCATCCTCAGCCTTCTGTGTATCGGGGGCGCCGCTGTGTGCCGCCTCCTTGTACGTACTCTGCCTTGCACCTCCTCTTGGCTAAGAGAAATTGGGGGGGGGGGGGTTCAGCATATAGCCAATCTCCAAAAGTAAGATCCTTGGTAGCATACACCCCTGTACCACACTCTTTGAAGTCATGCCCAATCCTGCCACAGAATTTACAGAAACGGTCCAACTCCTCATATCTGACAGCAAAAACCTGTCTTTCTCTTCCTCTGACAATGCTAACATGCTTGGTCAGCGGTTCCCTGATGTCATGCTTAACCCGCACTCTGATGTAATCACCCCGTGAATTACCTTGCAAACGAGTCTCTAGGACCTCACCTACTTTCCTGATTAGCTTTTGAACTAGATCCGGTTTACAATATCCATCCGGTAGCTTATGAATTTGGAGCCATATAGGCATGTGCACAATCTCGATCTCATCTGTCTTGCTGAAACCATCATACGACTGTATGAGAACAGCCAAGTTCCTGAATATCCATGGGCCCTTCTCCACAATTCGCTCATAATCTCCCAGGCAAGAGGCTTGAACAACAAAGAGATTATTACCCACTGGCTTGAAGCGAACCTCCTGCGTTGTGTTCCATGCCGCACACATATCCTTGAAAAAGGCAGACTGACTGAAGTTTTTCTCCGTGTAAACCCTAGCCAGGGCTAACCAACAAACACTTTCATTGATGACTGGATCATCCTCATCGACCACCAAATCGTCGAAGATTTCTCCATCAAGGTCGAGTTGGTTGAAGAAGTCATCCAGATTGCTGGGGTTTGCGGCCCTAGCCCCGCCACATGTTGCCGACTGCGCATCCAAAGAGGACGCCATCACCCAAGAGAGGCTTGGCTGCAAGGGGCGCAAGCGGATATCAAATCGAAATCCCTATCACCGTGGATATCAAAGTTTCCACCTCATCACACAAACTACCCCCCGCCAGGTATCAACCGTCCATTAGTGGTTGATCCACGCGGACCGCGGCTTCATGCGAATGGGGGCTGCCGGCAAGGGAAGGAATCGAGCGGAGCATAGGTGGACCATCGGTGAGACCGAATGGATTGTGAGAGAGAGCAATGTCAATGGTGGTTTGAGCGGTGAGAGGAGAGGAGTGTGGGAAGTAGTGTCAATACATCCCGTCTCGTCTCGTCTCCCGTGCTTCTTCAGGCGTGCAAGCGACAGCCACGCGTGGCTCGCTAGAGCCGGGCTCGGGGGGGCCTGGCTCTGCTCATGTCGCTGAGGTTCACGAATTGGGTGTAACACGGACATCCGAACAGAGCAAAATTACATCCCGAGAGTTTGGCTAGGCGGCATGCGGGCTACCTCTATACATCGTTGAATGCATCATGGATGATGACGCCTCAAGCTACAAGAGAGAACTGGACATACGCTCTCCTCCACGGCGCACATGACAAGTTCAACGGTTGTGGCTCACCAAACTATCCTTCACACACACACACACTCTCTCTCTCTGCGGAGAGGGACGTTCAACCAGATTTACCTAAATCTCCACCGACTTTTATGCGTGGGAACTAACTAGATTCCATGTTGCAAGTCGTAGACGGAAAACAAGCCGCAGAGGATACACGAACCAGGCGCTAGGCAGCTGCATGATGGCAGGTAAACAACTGCCGAGTCACCCGGCAATCTTTTGACAAGACGCATCTGATGAACTACAGAAATCAGACTTGATAGGTTGTGGTTGGTGCCGGCATTCTCCTTTTTGTCCCATCCGCATGCAGCGACCAACAAAATGTTCTACGGAGTAGTACTTTGTTAGCTGATCACTGTATTTTTTATAGAACCGTGCACACAAGCTGGTCTTAGGGTCCAGTCCAGAGCAAAGCGGCATCAGAAGAAGAACAAAAAGAAGAAAGCCGTACCCCGCGGCGCTGTACAAATTTGGGCCGTGTCTCCCAGCTTGGCTCATTCTGCTGCCTGCACTGCACACTCAAAACCGCAAGCAGCATTCCCTTCCCCTCTGCCTCCACCCCATCTCCGTCTCTCCTCCGGATGGCGCCGCAGGTATGGTTCCAGCCAGTGAATTTCTTGCATGCAGATCAAATCTCCCTCGCCATGGACGATCTCTTGCACACTCTCTCTAATAATTGATGGGTTCTTTGCGTGGCAGCAGAAGGTGGTTGTGAAGGTCTCTTCTATGAGCGACGAGAGGGTGAAGCAGAAAGCCATGGAAACCGTTGCGGACATCTATGGTGAAGTAACTTGCACTTTGCATTGGTGTTCCTTTTTTTCAGCTTGCTTCTTCATAGCTTGCTATCCTGACTTGACTATGATCTGAAACAGGTATCGATTCGATAGCCGCGGACCACAAGGATCAGAAGATGATGGTGATAGGTGATATGGACAGCGTCGTGATCGCCAAGAAGCTGAGGAAGTTTGGGAGGATCGATATCCTCTCCGTTGGGCCGGCGAAAGAGGAGAAGAAGGATGATAAGAAAGGGGAGAAGAAGTGATCGAACTTGGTGTTTCTGTTCCATCGATATCTTTCTTGTTCTCATATTTGAGGACGAACATACTGAGTTTCTTGGCTTTTTGCTCTGTACCCTAAGTTCAGTTATCTGGGTACCTGCAGATGTATTTACATACAGAGTAGTAAAGCATTCAGAATTTAACCAGAGGTGAAATGCTACCTGCATAATTGTTCACCAAAAATGATCGAAGCCGGGATACGGGGATAGGCTTGAAAATATCAGGGTTTCCAACTTTGGTAAGTGTTTTTGGCTCAGTTTCTCTTCAAGATAAAGTACTCACAAAGTGCCTAAAGTGCAGAGACAGAGACATGGATTTCTGAACAGAGTAGGAAATCACCACCGAATTACAAACTTATATGTGAATAATCGTCAAAAATACCAATCTAGAAATGGTAAATAAATCAATAAAACAAGTGTTGTCTGAGCGGGCCCTCATCCATCGCAGCCCTACTTTGCTCTCGAGTAAATCGAAACCGTCCATCAACACTACTATTCAACTGGAAGGGTCCACGACGTGGCCGAGGAACAACACCTCGCCCTTGCCATACTCGACGATGGCGAACAGGAATGGGTGGTCCGCCACGAAGCTCATTGGCGGCGGCGGCGGCCGCTCACACAGGCTATAGGTCGGGCTCGTATGCGTGTAGAACGCTGCTACCGCCGTCGTGCCTTCCTCGTCCACCTCGACGGCGCACATCTGCTCGATGGCCGACACGTAGAGCCCTTCCGGGCGCATGTTCGACACCGCCCCCGACAGGTCGGCGGCCAGCGGGTCGAACGGCGCGGCGAGCCCGAGGCCGCGCAGCGCGTCCGTGGCGTCGAACCGGAAGGAGAACTTGAACTTGGGGAGGAGGCAGGGGCTGACCACCTGCTCGCGCCGGGGAGCGCAGCGCATGACGAAGTCCGGCTCGGTGACCGCCAGCCGCAGGAGGTCGCGGAGCCCGTCGCGCCGGTGCGGGAGGAATACGAGCATGGAGAAGAGCGGCGCCTTTGGGTCGAGCTTGCCGTCGCGCCCCGCCATCTTGTAGAAGCACTGGAGGACCTTGAAGCCGAGGTCGTCGAAGCTGGTGGCGTACTGCATCCCGGGGTCGGAGAGGAACGGCACCAGCACGGACGTGCCGTCGAAGCGGCGGAAGTCGCGGCGGACGGTGTCTGACGGGTCGAACCTCCGTGCCCAGGTGGCCTTGAAGTGCATGGCGTTGGCGAGGACGATCTTGGGGTCGCCTTGAAACGAGTCCGGGGAGACGAGGTCGCGGATGCGGCCCCGCGTGGTCTCTGCGATGAGGGCGTTCACCTCAGCCGCCGCTGCCGCCGGCTGATCCATGCAATGCAAAATCAGTTTCTTAGTCACGTGCTCGCGTTTCTTAATCATGCCGTACTTACCGTTAGTTTTTTCGTTCATGTTTACTTGCAGATTGATTTTCAGTCAAATTTACTTGTACTTATCGTTATCGTTAGTGCTGCAAATGCCACTATGGAACTACCTGCTTCTGAAAGTCCACGGATCTCACGGAGGCCCGGTGGGCGGAGCTGGCGGTGGACACGAACTCCGGCCTCAGCGAGAACGATTTGTCCGCGAAGATGCCGGCGGCGAAGGTGAGCTGCGGCCACGCGCGCATCTCGGCGACGAGGCTGGCGCTGGCCGCGTTGAGGAGGTGGAGCTCCTGGGAGCCCAGGAAGGCCAGCAGTTGGCTCAGCGTCTCGCCGTTGGTGCCGGTGGCGAGCAGTGCGAGCCCGGTGCGTACGGAAAGGGGCGAGAAGATGAAATTGGACCGCCTGGCGATCGCGTCCGTGCCGGCGAACCAAGCGACCTGCATACATTTATCCATGCCGAACTTCTTCCAGAGACAACTGCACGAAGTGGCGTCGAGCAAATTAAATCTGGAGGCGAAGGCGTTCGGGGCGAAAAATAGGGGAGACAGGGGAGGGGTCGGCTAGTATTTATAGACGGGAAGGCGAGGGCTAGGGAAACGCGTGCACCGTGCACCGCCTAGAATACGTTCTGACCATCCGAACGGTCCACGGAGAACGGACGGCTTGACGGATTCATATACAATGACTATTCTATCAACACAATAAGTTAAAAAATATTGCGGGGTAAAAAATAATTTTGTTTCCGACAAACATAAATGAATATGATTTCAAAAACACAATTTGTAAAGTTTGATTTAAAATTCATATTCAAAAACGCACTTGAAACTTCACACGGGAGAGGGGGTAATTTTGGTGCTAGATTTAGGGAAAAGTTTACGGAAAGGGCTATCTTCCCATTCACCTCATCAACCAGCGGATCAAGTGCGTTGTGATTTGTGCATTCTAGCGAATGAATTTTCCAAGTGAAGCAATCCGTCGTGGCTATTTTGTTTTCTTTCTAGTTGTTTGGTATTCTAATTGTGACCCAGGACGACCTGTTTGTGGCCTTCTGTATTGTTGACATACTACACATGCAACTGCAAGCGTTGTAGTTCACCTGCAACTGAAAAGGAACACAGAGAGACTATAACTAGGGTTGAGTGAGGAGCTGTCGGGATTAGTTGTCGGGTCAGCATTAGAGTAGCAACTGCAAGTGTTGCAACCAATTGTAACTGCACGGGCATCAATG